ATATATATATATATATATATATATATATATATATATATATATATATGTGCAAAGCCCTCATTTGCACAAGAAAGGAAAAGCCTGACGGATTCTGGCAGTAGTAAAAGAGCAGAAGTTTATTACTGTCTCTAAATTGTGCTTTTACTGGTCAATGAAACTCCTATCCTAATATAGTCCAAAAATCAGGGCTTAACCTTGTGTGGTCAACTCTTGTTATTGCAGGGGTCTTCCTCGGGACCGCGATTTAGTGTCCCTTAATAGCAAACAAGAGTCCGCAACAGAGAGGGATTTAGCTGCTGTTAGTATTGCTGGGGTGGCCGTAATAGCAGGTTCTCCACAAGACGAGAGTTGACCGTACCCATAGTCCTTATATCCATTTCGCTTCCGATTTCACAGAGTGTTTCCCTGTACTGATCAAAAAATAAGTAAGCAGTTTTATACCCCGCCTTTCCCACATCTTAACTAAAATGTTCTCCAACGTAGTTTATTTAGCAAATGCATGCCGTTGTTAGACTCAGTAATTAGCATTTATGTGTTCTTTTAGTTAATATAACATGTTTTGGAGTTTTTTTCTAAGTTTTCATTGACATGATTTTTTTTCTTGTTTTTCCTCGAAGTTTGCATGCAAGCGGTGCGAGGACTAAGTCTCACGCCGCGGAAGGACTGGTTCCAAGTTAGACATTTTTGGCTAGTTGCGTCAAGAAGTTTTGTAATCCGCCTGATTTAAGTCATTTGTGAAGCCTTCTGTGAATAGTGTTATTAAAAATTAGGTCGCCATTACATAATAAAAGTGTTTACGTTATAGGCGCTATAATCTGCAAAATGGCTTAAAAGTGGTACGTTGTCCTATCTCACTTTTACTTTCTTTGCTAAAGTTATTATAAACAGATATTGATACTGAAGTTACAGTGTAAGTAGAGTCTTTTTTTAGATGGTTACTTTCTTTTTAAAATAAAGCCTACTTTAGTGAAATGACAGAATATGTATACATATAGACTTTGTTTTCATTTCTGTCTAGTTAGTGCCACAGTAACGGAGATTACAGGTAGGTGTACCACTAAGATAGTACACGTAATATGAACCACAATTTCTCACTTTGATTCTTTTTGAGTAAGAATAGCAGTAACCATCATTAAAATACACCGTCCTGGTGACCTGACCGTCCGCTACTGAGGGGTGTCCTCCACTTAGCCAGCCGGAACCATAGGTACCACACCTACGGTAAGATGGACATGATGTTGCCATTCTTGTGCCGGCAGACCCCTGGAAACGGAACCATCCAGGGCCGAGACCGTTATCACAGTAATAGCCGTAGCCATACGAAGTCCTTCGGGTTCCGCTGTGGAGACTCCCGTAGTTCTGACATTCTGACACAAAAGAAGAGAAAGAACAACAGCCGCTAGCAACGTTTCATTCAGTTGTGCATCAGCTCGATCGCCCTATGTAAGGGAATCTAAGACAGTCTTGAATCCTGGATTCCACGCCTTGAATTCCGGATTCTAGGTACTGAATTCCAGTCTTTGTCATAGGAACCTTGGATTCTGGATTTAAATCTTTAGAAGGATTCCGGATTCCAAAACCTAGGATTCCGGATTCCACAAGCAATTTCCCAGATTCTGGATTCCACCAGCAAAAATTTCTTGGATTCCGGAATCCGCATTCCCTTACATGGGGCGAGCTCCAGGTAAAAGAGGGGAACTTTTCACGTTTTAACTTCCCCAACCACATGCTCACTGTTGACCAACAAAAACACAGGAAGAAAACACTATTACCCATCAGCAGTATATGTTAGGCATCGTCATAACTTGTGCCAGTAAACCGATGAGTTATCTCAGTCTGTTACACACGACGTTAAATTTTGATACAGGAATACATGGATTCATGTACCGCCTTAAGCTTTGCCAAGTATTTCCCAGGGAAAATAGGTCCGTGCATACATAAAAAAGTGCTTGAATATTTTTAGAATTGACCATAGTTAATAATTACAGGTAACGACATCAATTTTGTAATCTCGAAGCTGACTCAATACTGACATTTATAAAAACGTTCTGGCAAAAGCTTGATTATAAACCTTTCGCGTAAGTTTATTCGCTACTTTGAGATTCTTTCTGTGCCAGTTCTATTGTCGAAAGACTGTTAACTGAAAATTCTTTTTCTTATAAGCACTCTGTATAACCACTATAGTATATTTATACAAGGTCACTAAAAATGAAAACGTAGTTTCTAAATGTATTGAGCAAGGATGCCCGATATCAACTTAAGTGTCAGCTATTCCCGTCTTGCTCGGCTTCATGACGTAGGGAATATTTAGCCATCTGAGCCATTTTTTTACAAGTAGCCAAAATTTACGTAAGGGTAAAAGCAAACAAAGAAAACCAAAATACTATAGAACATACGCAAAAAAGTCGATCGTCGAATCCGTTATTTGACCAGAGACAAAAGGAAGCGTAGCAGGGTCCTCATTATCCTACCCTGTTGCTCAAAATATAGCACCGCAAGATTTGTTTGGTGGGCACTATGATGAGTCTTTTACAGAACCGAAATCAAGAATACCACTCGAAAGACTCCATAAGACTACCATCAAACCGGAAATTGTTCGTTCGTGCACTTCTGATTCAGAAACTGGCACGTGTATTTCCTAATATTTTAGGTAATTCTTATAATTCTCCTTGTTATTGTTGTTTGGTTTTTCATAGAGATAGTGACTGCTATCGCAGTTAATTGGCAAACTTGAGAAAGTGAACTCCCCTTAAAGTAACAGTATAAATTGCATTAAAGTATATGTAGACTTGCCCTCAAGTTGACCCGTATACTGTGCCCTCTCAAGGCCGTTTCCTGCAGGACTTCGTTAACAAATAAGGGTATTCCCCGTGACCAATACAGTGGTCGAAGGACTCAAAAGCTTTCCTTTTAAACCGGCCAATGTATTTTAAACGTAAAACCCCGTTCAAGCAGCCAAGGTCAGCGCATGGTGCATCACTCACTAGTGTACGGGTTTAATAAAAGAAAATCTTCCTATTTATATTATCCTCGTTATCTTTTCCTAATTACCTGATGGTAGATTGCAAGTTCTGCCATCTCCAATGTAAGAACTGTTACATGAACAGTTAAAGGATCCCACTGTGTTTGTACATAAAGCACGTGAACTATGACAGTCATCAGTACCGCTAGCACACTCGTCAATATCTGGAAATAAACAAAATAACATTAAGTATAATCGCGCCCATTTTCTCAGTAAAGAGGTAGCAGGAGACAAGGGAAACGGACTGAAATAACATAAACTTGATCAAAAACAGGTTTCAGCAATCGTTACACTAAATGGACAATAACCGTTGCACTTACATTGTTTGAGTTTGCACTGTCTTGACAAGTTTTAATGTCATGGAAAAAGGAACGACGACAATAACATTTCAATTTTTTCTAAACTAAATCTATTTTTCCGTAGCAGTTTTGCGCTCGAATAGAATGCAACCCCCCGATCTTGTGTGTGGTTGGCTGTTTCTCTTTTTTGGGTGTCCTGTAGACGATCTAGCCAGGACATTTTGACCTTCCAGACATTCCTATGGTTGCTAAAATGGCGCTCCCAGGTGTTTTTTTTTTTGCAGGGCCTTGTGTCCATTGCGCTCTCTCAGCCTTTGCAGCCAATCAATTCTCGTGGGTGCGTCACGTAATTTTCTTTCGTTACGTATCTGAAAATAATATTTTCTGGACTTTTCGTTGCAAAACGTTTCCCTTTCGTTCTAGTGCTGTGAACGTACTTAAGTAAGGCAGAGAAATTCTATTGTAACTAATCAGAACTGAACACTTTGGGCGAAGACAAAGAGTCTGAAAGCATGCGACAAGAAATTCCCTTTAGTTCAGGCGATACGAACTTTCACTATATGCAAACAAGGACTAAATGAAAATGAAATAGTCACATGATAAGTATGCGGTTTATTTCGAGGGATGACTTTAATAGGCCATTATTTTATCAAGTTTTGTCTAGTGATCGTGTCATCTGTTCAGCCATGTGCGTGTCACTTAAATTTCCCAAATAAAACGTGTTTTAACCGCCGCCGACCGGTTAGCTCAGTTGGGAGAGCGCCGGTCTGCTGAGCGGGAGGCCGTAGGTTCAAACCCCGGCCGGACCAACACTCAGGGTCTTTAAATAACTGAGGAGAAAGTGCTGCATTTGTAATAACATCTGCAAATGGTTAGACTTTCTAGTCTTCTCGGATAAAGACGATAAACCGTAGGCCCCGTCTTACAAGCCCTTGCACATGTAATAAATCTGTGGGACGGTAAAGAACACACACACTCTTCGTAAAGAGTAGGGCACGTAGTGCCCGGTGTAGTGGTCTATCTCACTTCACACTCATGTATGGGGGCATCACCACTCATTCCTCCAGTACTTGTAAACTGCACCTTAAGCAGTCTGGCAAAGTCCCCCAACCAGTGTTGTAAATTATCCCTGAAAAGCCCTGTGGGGGGTGGATAATAAGATATTTACAATTTACAACGACGCGTCAAGTGCATCGTGTTGACGTTTATTCTTCTTTGCGAAGAGCTCTCCAAAGTTTCACATATCCAAAGAAGAAAGAGTCGAGACAAAAGTACTTTGAATAATGCATTAATACTGTTTCTACTATTTATCCATATTTTGTCACAGGAAAACACAAACTGCTAATTCTGTTATAATCCAACCGGGCTTATGAACTAAAACTCCCCACGTCTCAAAGTTCACAATATGCTTCAGCTCCTTTACTATCCGCCTATTACCCATGTCGAACGCACTCCCTAATCTATGATAATACTCCTAGTCATAACAGTCCCATCTGCGTACCCTCCTCGTTCCGAAACCAGCGCCCCCGGCCCCGCACGTAAAAGACTGCTGCTTACGGGCTTCATGGGTCATTTTCATTTAATGATCACATCAGCTGGCAACCTCGCTATTAATGGCTGTCTAATGGCTATACCAGGCAGCCGGTAGTCTAAGTTAACCCCTATTCAACAAAGTATATAATTGTTTCTGTTGTTGGTTTCGTTGTTGTCTGGCCTATCAAAAACCTTTTTCGTCTGTACTCGAGTTAACAAGTTTGCAGGAGTCATTGAAAGTATTCCCTTTCCTCTATGTCACCTTTAGAAAAAGATCAAAACGCCTTACCAGTGCATGTTCTTCCATCTCCTGAATATCCTGCTTTACATGCGCATGCATACGATCCAAGAGTATTGTTACACATCGCATTGACGCCACAGCTATGGGCGTTGGAAGAACACTCGTCGATATCTGGAAAATGCAGTGAAGCTTGGCGTAAAGATAAGAGATTTTGCATATGCCTGATCGCAGTTCAGCGTAACTTTGATCAATTATTCAGCAATTATTATATAACCCCTTCCCATCCCCCCAGCCCCCCACCCCTCGAGACCTCCATAATTCGTCATATCATACAAAGCAGAATCAAATATTTTTTTTTTAATAATTGAAGGTATTTCAAAACTTTAAATCATGCTTTTCTACATCGATGTAAACTTTCGTCTGCATAACATTTACCTCTTCCTCGGAAAATTCAGGATATAAGGGCACGTTTAGTGTAGCCGGGAAATATTTATCTTCATGAGCAGCTGTAGTCGGTGGAGTGGTATGTTTGCTGTTTGTTTGCTTTGCCGTGAGGGTAATGGGTTCATGATAACCGTCACGAATATAGACATTAAGTGACCACTAAGCCCACTATGAGAATGTTAATGTAATTGCTATAGTTAGTGTAACTGGTGTAATAGCTGTAGTTGGTGTAGTTAGTGTACTAGGTATAGTAGCTGTAGTTGCTGTTGTTGGTGTAGTAGCTGTAGTTGGTGTAGTTGCTATAGTTGGTGTAGTTAATGTAGTTGGTGTCGTTCCTGTAGTTTCTGTAGTTACTGTAGTTGCTGTAATTGGTGTAGAAGCTGTAGTTGGTGTAGTAGCTGTAGTTGGTGTAGTAGCTATAGTTGCTGTAGTTGGTGTAGTTAGTGTAGTTGGTGTAGTAGCTGTAGTAGGTGTAGTTAGTGTAGTTGGTGTAGTTGCTGTAGTTTCTGTAGTTGCTGTAGTTGCTGTAGTTGGTGTAGTTAATGTAGTTAGTGTAGTTGCGGTAGTTGATGTAGTTACTGTAGTTTCTCTAGTTAATGTAGTAGCTGTAGTTGGTGTAGTAGCTGTAATTGGTGTAGTTAGTGTAGTTGCTGTAGTTGATGTAGTTGCTGTAGTTGCTGTAGTTGGTGTAGTAGCTGTAGTTGGGGTAGTTGGTGTAGAAGCTGTAATCGGTGTAGTTACTGTAGTTGCTGTAATTGCTGTAGCTGGTGCAGTTAGTGTAGTTGGCGTAGTGGCTGAAGTTGGCGTAGTAGCTGTAGTTGGTGTAGTAGCTGTAGTTAGTGTAGTTAGTGTAGTTGGTGTAGTTGGTGTAGTAGCTGTAGCAGGTGTAGTTGGTGTAGTAGCTGTAGTTAGTGTAGTTGGTGCAGTTAGTGTAGTTAGTGTAGTTGGTGTAGTTAGTGTAGTTGGTATAGTTAGTGTAGTAGCTGTAGTTGCTGTATTAGCTGTAGTTGATGTAGTTGCTGTAATTCGTGTAGTAGCTGTAGTTGGTGTAGTTAGTATAGTTGCTGTAGTTGGTGTAGTTAGTGTAGTTGCTGTAGTTGGTGTAGTTGATGTTGTAAGTGTAGTTGGTGTAGTAACTGTAGTTGCTGTAGCTCGTGTAGTAGCTGTAGTTGGTGTAGTAGCTGTAGTTGGTGTAGTTGGTGTAGTTTGGTGTAGTTGGTGTAGTTGCTGTAGTTGATGTAGTTGCTGTAGTTGCTATAGTTGGTGTAGTAGCTGTAGTTGGTGTAGTTGGTGTAGTTGTTGTAATTGGTGTAGTTAGTGTAGTTGGTGTAGTTGGTGTAGTTGGTGTAGTTGATGTAGTTGCTGTAGTTGGCGTAGTAGCTGTAGTTGGTGCAGTAGCTGTAGTTGGTGTAGTTAGTGTAGTTGCCGTAGTTGCTGTAGTTGGTGTAATTGGTGTAGCTAGTGTAGTTTGTGTACTTGATGTAGTTGATGTAGTTGCTGTAGTAGCTGTAGTTAGTGTAGTTGCTGTAGTTGCTATAGTTGCTGTAGTTGCTGTAGTTGGTGAAGTTAGTGTAGTTGGTGTAGTTAGTGTAGTTGGTGTAGTATGTGTAGTTGGTGTAGTAGCTGTAGTTGGTGTAGTAGCTGTAATTGGTGTAGTAGCTGTAGTTGCTGTAGTTGGTGTAGTTAGTGTAGTTGGTGTAGTAGCTGTAGTAGGTGTAGTTAGTGTAGTTGGTGTAGTTGGTGTAGTTGCTGTAGTTGGTGTAGTTGTTGTAGTTGGTGTAGTTAATGTAGTTAGTGTAGTTGCTGTAGTTGATGTAGTTACTGTAGTTGCTCTAGTTGATGTAGTAGCTGTGGTTGGTGTAGTAGCTGTAATTGGTGTAGTTAGTGTAGTTGCTGTAGTTGATGTAGTTGCTGTAGTTGGTGTAGTAGCTGTAATGGGTGTAGTTGGTGTAGAAGCTGTAGTCGGTGTAGTTGGTGTAGTTACTGTAGTTGCTGTAATTACTGTAGCTAGTGTAGTTAGTGTAGTTGGTGTAGTAGCTGAGGTTGGCGTAGTAGCTGTAGTTGGTGTAGTAGCTGTAGTAAGTGTAGTTAGTGTAGTTGGTGTAGTTGGTGTAGCAGCTGTAGCAGGTGTAGTTGGTGTATTAGCTGTAGTTGATGTAGTTGCTGTAATTCGTGTAGTAGCTGTAGTTGGTGTAGTTAGTATAGTTGCTGTAGTTGGTGTAGTTACTGTAGTTGCTGTAGTTGGTGTAGTTGATGTTGTAAGTGTAGTTGGTGTAGTGACTGTAGTTATTGTAGCTGGTGTAGTAGCTGTAGTTGGTGTAGTAGCTGTAGTTGGTGTAGTTGGTGTAGTAGCTGTAGTTGGTGTAGTTGGTGTAGTTGGTGTTGTTGCTGTAGTTGCTGTAATTGGTGTACTTAGTGTAGTTGCTGTAGTTCTTGTAGTTGCTGTAGTTGGCGTAGTAGCTGTAGTTGGTGTAGTAGCTGTAGTAAGTGTAGTTAGTGTAGTTGGTGTAGTTGGTGTAGCAGCTGTAGCAGGTGTAGTTGGTGTATTAGCTGTAGTTGATGTAGTTGCTGTAATTCGTGTAGTAGCTGTAGTTGGTGTAGTTAGTATAGTTGCTGTAGTTGGTGTAGTTACTGTAGTTGCTGTAGTTGGTGTAGTTGATGTTGTAAGTGTAGTTGGTGTAGTGACTGTAGTTATTGTAGCTGGTGTAGTAGCTGTAGTTGGTGTAGTAGCTGTAGTTGGTGTAGTTGGTGTAGTAGCTGTAGTTGGTGTAGTTGGTGTAGTTGGTGTTGTTGCTGTAGTTGCTGTAATTGGTGTACTTAGTGTAGTTGCTGTAGTTCTTGTAGTTGCTGTAGTTGGCGTAGTAGCTGTAGTTGGTGTAGTAGCTGTAGTTGGTGTAGTTAGTGTAGTTGCCGTAGTTGCTGTAGTTGGTGTAATTGGTGTAGCTAGTGTAGTTTGTGTACTTGCTGTAGTTGATGTAGTTGCTGTAGTAGCTGTAGTTAGTGTAGTTGCTGTAGTTGCTGTAGTTGCTGTAGTTGCTGTAGTAGCTGCTGTAGTAGCTGTAGTTAGGTTAGTGTAGTATGTGTAGTTGGTGTAGTATATGTAGTTGGTGTAGTTGCTGTAGTTGGTGTAGTTAGTGTAGTTCGTGTAGTTACTGTTGTTGGTGTAGTATATGTAGTTGGTTTAGTATATGTAATTGGTGTAGTATGTGCAGTTGGTGTAGTTTGTGTAGTTGGTGTATTTAGTGTAGTTGTTACCCAAAACTGAACCAAACTACACCACCTGCATCAAACTTGACCATCTACACAACACCACACGAAACAACATCTACAAAACCAAACTACACCAAACTACACAAAACTACACCAACTACACAAAACTTCACAAAACTTCACCAAACTACACTAACTACACAAAACTACACCAACCTACAACAAACTACACTTACTACACCAAACTAGTGTAGTAACTGGTATAGTAACTGGTGTGGTTTTGTGTAGTTTGTGTAGTTTGGTGTAGTTGGGTTTAGTAGATGTTGTTTCGTGTGGTGTTGTGTAGATGGTCAAGTTTGATGCAGGTGGTGTAGTTTGGTTCAGTTTTGGGTAACAACTACACTAAATACACCAACTACACAAACTACANAACTACACCACCTGCATCAAACTTGACCATCTACACAACACCACACGAAACAACATCTACAAAACCAAACTACACCAAACTACACAAAACTACACCAACTACACAAAACTTCACAAAACTTCACCAAACTACACTAACTACACAAAACTACACCAACCTACAACAAACTACACTTACTACACCAAACTAGTGTAGTAACTGGTATAGTAACTGGTGTGGTTTTGTGTAGTTTGTGTAGTTTGGTGTAGTTGGGTTTAGTAGATGTTGTTTCGTGTGGTGTTGTGTAGATGGTCAAGTTTGATGCAGGTGGTGTAGTTTGGTTCAGTTTTGGGTAACAACTACACTAAATACACCAACTACACAAACTACATCAACTACACAAAACTACACCAAACGAAACCTACTAAACCAAACTACACCAAATTACACCAACTACACAAAACTACACCAAAGTACACCAAACTACACCAAAGTACACCAAACTACACCAACTACACAAAACTACACCAAACTACACCAAACTACACCTACTACACCCAACTACACAAAACTACACCAACACAACTACTACACCAAAAAACTACACCAAACTACATCAACTACGCCAAACTACACCAAACTAAACCTACTAAACCAAACTACACCAAATTACTCCAACTACACAAAACTACACCAAACAACACCAAATACACCAAACTACACCCACTACACAAAACTACACTAACTACACCAACTACACCAACTACACAAACTACACTAACTACACCAACTAAACTAACTACACCAACTACACAATCTACCACAACTACAGCAACTACAGCAACTACACCAACTACAGCTACTACACCAACTACACAAACTACACTAACTACACCAACTACAGCTACTACAGCAACTACACCAACTACACCAACTGCCCCAACTACACTATTTACAGCAACTACAGCAACTACACTAACTACAGGAACTTCACTAACTACACCAACTACTGCTACTACACCAACTACAACAACTACACTAACTACACCAACTACAGCTACTACACCAACTACAGCTACTACAACATCTACAGCAACTACAACAACTAGAGTAACTACACCACTACACTAACTACATCAACTACAGCAACTACAGCAACTACACTAACTACAGCTACTACACCAAGTACAGCAACTATACTAACTACACCAACTTCAGGTACTACAGCAACTACACTAACTACACCAACTACAGCTACTACACCAACTACAGCTACTACACTAACTACACCAACTACACCAACTACACTAGCTACTGCAACTCCACCAACTACACCTACAAGAGCTACTACACCAACCACACTTACTACAGCTACTACAGCTACTACACCAGCTACAGCAACTTTAGCTACTACACCATGTACACTAACTACAGCAACTACAGCTACTACAGCTACTACACCGATTACAGCTACTACACCAGCTACAGCAACTACAGCAATTACAGTAACTACAGCAACTATCCTAACTACAACAACTACACCAACTACAGCAACTACACTAACTACATCAACTACAGCACCTACAGCAACTACATCAACTACAGGAACTACAGCTACTACACCAACTACACGAACTACAGCTACTACACCAACTACACCTACTACAGCTACTTCACCAACTACAGCAACTACACTAACTACACCAATTACAGCTACTACACCAACTACAGGTACTACTTCAACTACAGCAACTACAGTAACTACATCAACTACAGCACCTACAGCAACTACAGGAACTACAGCTACTACACCAACTACACGAACTACAGCTACTACACCAACTACACTTACTACACCAACTACAGCTACTACATCAACTACAGCTACTACAGGAACTACATCAACTACAGCTACTACAGCAACTACAGCAACCACACCAACTACAGCAAGTACAGGTACTATACCAACTACACTAACTACACCAACTACAGTTGCTACGCTATCTACAGCCACTACACCAACTACACTTACTACACCAACTACAGCTACTACACCAACTTCAGCTACTACACCAACTACAGCTACTACACTAACTACAGCTACTACACTAACTACACCAACTACAGTAACTACATCAACTACAGCAAGTACACCAACTACATTAACTACACCAACTACAGCATTTACACCAACTACAGCTACTTCACCAACTACAGAAACTACAGCTACTACACCAACTACAGAAACTACAGCAACTACACCAACTACAGCTACTACACCAACTACAGCAACTACAGTAACTACATTGACTACAGCAACTACAGCAACTACATTAGCTACACCAACTACAGCAACTATAGCAACTACACCAACTACACCAACTACAGCTACTATACCAACTACAGCAACTACAGTAACTACATCAACTACAGCAACTACATTAACTACACCAACTACAGCAACTACAGCAACTACACAAACTACAGCTACTACACCAACTACAGCAGCTACAGCTACTTCACCAACTACACTAAGTACACCAACTACAGCTACTACACCAACTACACTTACTACACCAACTACAGGTACTAAACCAACTACAGCTACTACACCAACTACACCAACTACAGGAGCTACATCAACTACAGCAACGACACCAACTACATTAACTACAGAAACTACAGCAACTACACCAACTACAGCAACTACAGCTACTATACCAACTACACTAACTACACCAACTACAGCTACTACACCAACTACAGTAACTACAGCAATTACATTAGCATTCTTATAGTGGGCTTAGTGGTCACTTAATGTCTCTATATTCGTGACGGTTATCATGAACCCATTACCGCCGTTAGGCAGTAGTTCGGCTCTCTTTTTTTTTTCTTCGTCATTTTCTCCAGCACTACCAAAACCGAACTACCAAGCCTTCGTTAAAATTCTTGGGAACCCAGGGGCAGTCAAGCCAGGTTCCACAAATCCGGATATTTTTGGAACAGCCATTTTTTTTTTTTTTTTTTAACACGAACCGTCCTTTCGCACACGTAAAACCTATGAATCCTTTCACCGAAGCCGCATCTTTTTTTAAACCGCGCTCCAGATAGGTTTAAGTTCTCGTCCATACGAATAAGGTTGTGTAAATAAATATGCGGTTTCTGGATTCGTATAGCCGGGGCCTCAGTCGAGTCGAGAGAAACGGCGTAACTAGCTGCGGCCCCTAGGTCTCCAAGCGGATGTCTTACGAGTCTCATCTCTGAGGATATCTGCAAACAACTTCCACATTTGGTTAACGGTAGCTGGTCTTGAAAAATTAGCGGGAGGAATACGCAATCAGAAACGCAGAAGTATTTTGAATTATCTACCTGATAGTTTTCACCTGGTCGCTAAGGTCAAAGTATCCATTTTTTTTTCTGCGAAACAAGTCAGGTGACAGTGTTAATGGTTTATTTCACACCGCGTAGGAATTGCACCCTTCAGCCATTGTTTGACTTTTCTGCCTTCTCAGAATCCGTCCACACGAACCGGATATGTTTGAGAACTGCCTTTTCCTTTTTGTTTGTTTGTTTGTTTTTTTTTTTTACACGAATCGGCATTCCGTCAACACGAAACCAGTGAATCCGCTCACCGAAACCGCATCTTTTTAAAACCGCTCAGAGTGGTTTAAGACCCCGTTTGCACGAATCTGGGAAAAAAGATATGTAATTTCAAAAGTGCCCCGATTCGTGTGGACGCGGCCTCAGTTTAATTATTATCTAACATACCATTGCAGGTTTTTCCATCTCCTGTGTACCCGGCATTACACGAGCATGTGTATGAACCCGCGTTATTCTGGCAAACGGAATTGGCGTCACAAGAATGGGAACCAGTGGTACATTCATCCAAGTCTAAAAGGGAAAATCACATAGTGAAGAGATTAAACAATCTTTTCTTTTATCCTGTCTTAAAAGTTAAGAATTTCTTTCCTTTGTATATAGCTGTGTAACTAACTGTCGAGAGAAAATAACATATGGGAAAAACGTGACTCGCAGAAAGGATCTTACAAAACTTGCCCTGAGCTCATGTTCGTTGAACCATTTAATATATAATTCAAAGTTAATGTAGTTGAATGTCTTGGGGCACTATCTGCTAACTGAGGTCCATAAAACATAATTATTAATGATCTTGGTGTGCCTAATACCTTTAAAACAAGTGTAGTTATAGCAGTTATGACAAGGCACATCATTCCAAGTGTAACCATGCCTGGCGCCAAGGGTGTGAACACAATCTTCGTTTTTCCAGTCGTTCGGTTGCTGTGGGGCCCAGAACCTAAAACTACTTATTTCTTTGTTTGCCCACACAAAGGAGCCCTCCACACTTCGGTCATTGAGTCCGATCCAGGATCTCTCTCCGTTGGGACGGTGTTGAATATAGACGTTTTCATTCTGGTTGTGAACTGTTACCAAACTGGAACTCATCTCCGAACAGTTTGATACTGCAGTGAGCCACGAGCCACAAGTGCGACTTGTGAAGTAACAGTAGCCACTAAAATAGCTCCAACCTGGCTGGCAAATACCTGGGAAATAGATGCAACATTTGTGGAATTAAGATACCCAATTACCTCGAATAGTTATCACTCTATGTGCCTTACGTTTGATAAACATAAATATATCGAGATCCTACCTTTAATCTGAGCTAAAGACACTTAAAAGCTGCATGAAACCATACTAACAGTATATACAGTGTACCAATTTATGCGCATCAATTTCAAAAAGTGCTTCACAACTGCAACAAAGAAAACTTTGTCACACTGAGGCGTCTCAATAAAAGAAATCTACCCTTGCAATGTCATCTACGCTTTAATGGGTGATGGGATAACACGATGGTCAGAAATAGGTGTTTTTCCTCCCACGTAGGTCTCAGGGACGTGAAGAATTTTCCAAATGGCATGAAACTTGGCAGGATTGTTGCTTGAGAGATTCACATTTTTTTGGGTGGCAAGTTGACAGTCTTGATGGGCATTGTGACGTCACAAATAGTTTCCAAATTTGGTGCCAAAATAAAAATAAAAATTTTAAAAAACGTCAGAAAAACCACATAGAGGTGTTCTGTGATCAGAGTGAAGCTTTCCAGTGAAAACCCCGTTAAAATCCATTAAAACGGGAAAAAGTTACAAGCTATTTTGTGCCTGACAATAAAAGAAGGAATTTAAATAATTTAATTGTTTTATTACCTTATATGGTAAAACTTTAGGGAGGCTTCCAGTTCAAGACAATAAATGAAAGTTAAAAGAAAAATAGCGGATAACACACTGGAGAAAATTTGTAGTTTTTTTGAATTTGGGACTCTATAGGTATTTTCACTTCTGACGTTATCAACACGTAAATATGACGTCAACATGGTATGAAATGATGTAACATGCAACCTGACACCCCATGTCCCAAATTTAAAAAAACTACAAATTTGCTTTTATGCATGGTTCGCTTAGTTTCCTTACTGTTTCGTTTAATAAGCTAGAGTTTAAATACCCCTAAAGTTTGACCATATATAGTTAATTCCATACATTTGGCGGGAAATTTGAAAGTCTTTAATCAGCTCTAACTTTGCCACAATTTAACGGATTTAAGTGGGGTTTTCACCAGAAAGCTCCGTTTTTTTTTATAGATTTTATTTATAAAGTTATTTAAGTCAAATAATTAATTCTAAATTTTAGCGCCATGTTTCAACATCACTTATGACGTCATGCTGTCAATCAAAAGTATAAAACTACCATTAATACATGTGGACTTTCTTTTACTATGTTCCTGCCAAGTTTATTCTCATTCGGAATATTTCATAATCATCTACGTGTCTCTAATAAGCCATGTGAGAGGAAAAACACCCATTTCTGACCATTGTGAATCCGGTTTAAGACTACCCTAAGCACCGCCTTTCAGGTTAATATTGTTGGTTAATTGATATTAAGTTAGCTGTATCTGTGTAAAAGAGTTTCTAGTCTAATAAGGATGTCGCCCTTTACCTGACAAGACAGTATATGATACGGAGAGAGGGTCGTACTTTGAGTCGTACAATTCCTTTGTACACACTCGAGCCCCTGTTGTATTGATGTACTAAAAGTTAAAATGAAAAATAAATAAATAAAAACAGATGATCATTCGTCCATTTTTAACTCACTAATCGTAAATTATCATGTCTTAGTCTCGAAAAAAAATTAATCTGCTACTGACTACTGTTTGTAGTTTTATCTACTTTTAAAGCACTGCGTTTAGTCATTACGTCATTCAAACTGCTTTAAGTGCCCATAACCTAACATTTATTAGCGAACACAACGTTGTGTTTTTTTTAGAATTTTTCTTAAAGGTTCAAAGTTGCTGCCATTTTGGCACACCATTGGTCTTAGTCTTCTCACTGAAATCCCGGGAACAAAGGAGATGTGACGTAAATTAAGGAACTATGACGTAAATTAAGGAAAACGTAACTTTAGATGCAAGAAAACTAGTGTGGAGCCGTGTTAGTTCAATCCTTTTTTAGCACAAGTCTTTTTATTACTGAACCACTTCCTACACATTATAATCATTATTAGTTTACTGCCATGAAAGAAAGCTCAACAAGGATCACAAGCTCACGATACCGTTCCACCCCTCCAAGTTTTAGCTGTCACTGACTCACTGACTCACCTCAACCCAAGCGGTTATGGAGTTGTGCATTGGATCCTGACCTCCCCCACTGGAGGTGTGATTCGCTGATACAAATACACTTGGGGCATTCTTGTATAATTTGGCAAAGGAAATATCCTAATAAAAGAACATACCATGAATTTCAGAATCGATGAAAAGAGCCACCAAATTAACGTACGGTGAAAACGTGACATAAAATAAAGCTAAGCGAGATGCGATTTATACTGACCTTGCAGAATGCGTTATTATTCCAGGCTGCAGGCTTCTGAGAGTTTGCAAAATAAACTGAGCTGTGTTCTGAGAACATGGGCTTGTCAAGTGACGAAAAAGCCAACCAGTTCTGTGAAAAGAGAAAAAAAAAGCAAAAGAAAAGAAAAATGGAAAGAAAGAGAAAATTCGCTACATCATGTTGTCAGGTTGCCCTGCACCGCTGGGCAACGACATAATTTGAGACAACTCAACGCACAACAAATATAATAATGAGAATAGGACGTAAAAAGGAGAAAAAATGAAGTATACTACATACGACATAGATGTACTCATGTGAGCCCGCGTAATTCTGCAGTTCCCTTAAACATATTTTAAAGGAAAATCGCGTGATATCCTCCAACCAAATACTGGCAGCGTCTCTCTTCAGTCCGGCATGGTGATGTGCAACGGTCACAAAAACTGAAGGCTCCTTTGGAAACTAAACCCACACAGAAAAATTACTTGCATCAAATTTTCTAAGCAAGCCATGTTGTGAATAAAAGCTTAAATCTATAATATTTTAAATAACTTATTTTATATTAATTAATTAATTTATTAATCAATTAAAACACTTCCTTGCTAGGTAGTAACAAAGACAAAGTGAAGAAGGCGTCTCGTACTAGCTTTTCTTCAAGCGGGTAACGTTTTGTCTGCATCTGTACTTTAAAAACAGTTGTCTGGAAAAGTACACAATACTGGCGTATTATTTTTTTCATGGACAGACAATCAAAACTTAACCTACATGGTACTTGGCTTGGCACTCGTGTGGGAGATTGTACCACACATATAACGGCCTCGCTCTGAAGATAATTGTGTGTGTGTATGTTGACGTATTGTAGTGCAGCATTTGATCCTTTTACAAAACAAACAAACATAAATAAATAAATAAATAAATAAAAATTCTACCAAGGGAAAAAAAAAATCAATGGCGAGGGTGAAACAACAGAGCGAGGCCTCAGTTAAAGTGCGCCTTTAAGAAACAATTATTTTCATAAATGACTAGATAAGTACATTAAATCTATTAAATTATCCATAATAAACAGCTAAAAAATTAATATTTATTTACTAAGAAGGCTAAAAAATATCATGAGTGTTAAAAAGACATTAATTTGTAACTGTAGTAACAGCATATATTACTTCAAAGACATGAGTGTTACGTGCAACGCAGCACTTGGGACAGATTGATTTGACGTCGTAAAGTTTAGCGAAAGCACTCTGTTCGTGTCCATGGAGCTCAGAGACTTGACGAATTTGTATTTATTGAGATTAAAACAGAGCAGATAGATGCTGGTAGATAATTCCATAACTAACAGGTAAACGATTAAAATAACTATTTTAAAACAATGTAGTGCGGCACTTAGAAATTGACAAATCTAAACTAAGCTGCTGTACAAAATCATTATGACAGATATTGTAGTGACCTAATTGGCATCTGAAGTAGAATTGAAAAGAAGATCATTGATTTCATAAAAAAAAAAGAATAGGCAAGAGGTTCAGTTTAATATTATAAGCCTCTCCTGGTAGATGGTAGAATCCGTTCAACTCAACTTAACATAAATTTTGTAGCTCTTCATTGAAGACTTTCAACTTTAGAGATGTTTCCTAAAGATTGAGGTGCCCAGATTCAGGGGAGATCTGTCGAATGTAAGGTACAAAAGTCTTCTGGTGTCTGTCAGTGTCAAAATCGCAGCAAGTGTGTCTTCCAAGAAATCCTAATGTTCAGTAACACTGTACTTATGATATAACATTTTTTATGTACTGGTTCCACGTAAGGTCACCAGTAACCGTTACTCCAAAATCTTTTTGCGAGGTTACAGGAGACAGGTTACAGGAGACAGAGCATCAAATCCAATTGAATTTTATAGCCGAAACAGACTCGGGTTTCGTTTGCGTGGAACGGATAAACTTCGCATTTAGAGCTATCCCACAGTGAATAAAGAAATGTACCGAATTTACGCTAATTAACCTCACGGCGCTTATTTGAAGGCAGTGCTTAATACCATAATAATACCGCTTAGTACCGTATTTACGCGACTAAGCGCCGCGGCGCTTATTAAACTTCCTCGCCCCCAAACGCGGCGCTTATTAGAGAAATTACTGTACAGATGTTAATTGGCAACTTAAAAGAGTTTATTACATTTAGGGCAAGTTGTTATTACATTTAGGACAAATATTTTTACATTTAGGACTTTATTACATTTAGGCCTTGGCCAACGTGGAAGGAGAACTATAGTAATTAGGGACCTTAAGCATCGACGACGAAATAGGACGACGACGCCGACCGGAATTGAAGTGAAATTTTGCCGCGCGAACCTGTGCATGCGTAAAGTTGTCGAAAAGTCGTCCAGCCTTTGTCCACAACGAAATTCAGGGAGGTTTGCCGTCGTCGCTAAAACGTAGGTATAAAACTATACTTTTTGCGTGTAAATCACTCTTTTTCTCCCTTATCATTCAGTGCAATCAGACAAAACCTTAACAAACCAAGGTACTAATAAATAAAGTCAAGCACATTTTAGAGAAGTGGAAAAAATCGCTAACTGAAGGAAAACGCACTGTCTTGCATGTTGTTCCAGTCCACCACTGTGACATGCGCAACTCTCCACTGACCCCACCTTCTGGGGCTCCTTGATAAGCTATCCAGTCTATGGACACATTAGCACGGGACCT